TTTATTTTTTGAAATATCACAAACACTTAACAAAAAACAACCTACCAATTTAATTCCACATATGCTCGAAGCATATTTATTTCTTCATGTAACTGTCCCGGTATGAGAATCAACCAAGGAAATTTTTCCTTTAACTTGGTAGCATGATGATATGGAACACCATCGCATGCTACCCACTTGCGAGTTTCGTCCTTAATATCTGATAATTTCCCTATATACGAGAGAACCTTTTCAACATTCGCGATTGAATTAGGATTAATATTAATTGGATCGAGCACAAAAATCTCAGGAATATTAACTCCTTAATCAACGACTTGCTGCTGGGTATGACTGATCCTTGGAATATGCATATCACTTGGTTCATTGCTAATACTATTATAAGGTTTAAAATAAATAAATAAATTAGTTGATTGATTATCTATATAATTCTCGACTTCGATTTCTTTTTCTTTTTGAATTTCGGCCAATGTTGGTAATCATGCTCCACACATTGGGCATGTTTTCTTTCGATTTTCAATATTTGTAGGTTGCAGTTAGTGCACCTTTTCATCTTTGCAGTATTTGCTGCCGTAGATGCTGCAAGAGAATCGATAACATTAGTAGATGATGATTTTTTATCAAACAACAAATTAAGGATATCAGCAAGATAAGCATGTAATTCTTTATTAAGAACTTCTTGCATTTGAGGGCTAATATCAAAAAGCTCTTCATACTGTAAATTGCTAAGAGAATCACATATCCAAGGAATGTTAGTATGCTAAAGTTTGTTTTGAGCTGACATATTAAAAGCAACAAAACTAGTAATAGTGTGGTAAACCACTGTATTGAACCCACAGTCAAGGTAATTTTTTTGACCTCTTTGTTCATTATCAAACGCAATAAATAAAAGACCTTCGGGCAATGGCTCTTCATATCTTGATAAGTCTTCTAACCACCTTTGAAATCGAGAATAACTCCCTGAGCACATAATATGATTATCAATATCAATGATCATCTTTGATCGTGCTATTGAATACTTGATAGCCGAGATAGCAAGATGAATTTCTGATACATATTTATCATATTGTGTTCTATATATTAAATCGACGGCTGAAGAAATCTTAAAAAGCTTTTCTTGGCTCATAGTATTAGCACCTTGATTGTTCAGAATCAGGGTTTCTAAAAATTTAATAACAACCTGATTACGTTTAGTAAGCTATTCACGTGAACTATATGTTATAAGACTCTCTACAGAAAACCTAGACTTATCCTGAACTAAAAATCTTATATCATCAAATACCGATATACGTTCCGCATTTGCTATTTCAACTATTGCTTCAATACGTTTTTGTTGAGTAGCAAACCTTGAATTCCACTGTTCAACAAGAATATGATTACGCTTACATTGTTCATCATATAAAACCCGAATATCAATCATATTATTTTGAGCTTTCTGTAATTGGCTTTTTAATTCTTCTATTTCATGCTTTTGACCTTTAATATATTGCTGCATTCGTGCAATTTGATTATTGAGGTCTATTATTAACTGTGATTTTTGCTGGTTTTCTACTTGCATGACTTCCAAAAACTATCTAGCTTTGTCAAGCTCAATTGTTGAATCTATATAAACAATTTGGTTATCTTCAACATTAATTGTTGAGCTTTCGTTAACACTTGGATTATCCTCCGCAATTCGACTTTCTTGAGCAGAACCTACAAGACGCTCATAAAATTGGTTAGTTGTGGCAATTTGAGTATAATGTGAAGAACAAAGAGAATGAGATTCTAAAGACAAGTTAGCAAGTTCAGGAACATAATCATAATAAAACGCAAGTTGTCTAGCTACTTCAGGGCCACTTGCATTTCGCTATTTCTGTAACCTGCCCATTCCGCAAGGTCTTAGCCCAAGGCTTTCATACTTTTCAACTAAATCCACAAATATACATTTCTTTTCATGTGCTTTCTTTTGCTGTTGTTGATCAGACACTATATAAAGATTATTTAAGATACTATGTTAGTTACAAGATTAAACCTTCTTACTTAACAATTCGAAAGAAACTCTTAGATTTGATGTCTCATTTACTTTTTTTAAAATGGTTAAATGTGAGAAATCAAATGAGATTAATTAAATTTGGTGCTTTATATTAACTATTAGTATATTATTTAATATCGAATGAATAGGGCGAAAGCCCACTACAAATATGGGCACAAAAAAGCATTACACAGCCAATCAAATTCGTGATACAGTACAGAGATTATTCTAGAAGGTGATTTCCTAATTTGGTAAAATCCCTGACTGTAATAGGGAATTTCAATAGTATAACCAATCTAGAGCTAGACAGAACACCAATCTTAAAGCAGATTAAACAAGATCCTCTCCTGAATTGGCTTTAAAGACAAGAATTTATAGATGCCTTCAGAACGATCTATCCAAAAACTAGAAGATTCACATAGACAAATAAAGATACAAATACAAAAATAGATCAAATATAGGTATCTAAGAAACTTGCATATAGTCTATTTGATGCAGAAATACAAGAAATGGACATTTATACAAATAGTGACCATGAGGTAATGATGATCAGAATCGACCTCAAGCATCTTAGTGCCTCTCAGAGTGCTTCAGCATGCAAAAAAGGTAAACAAACATGAACAGTTTTTCTTTATGATAAGGCATCTGAAGAAAATTAGAAAAACTATAGAAGGCAAATAGATAGGCTACTTAAAAAAAGTACAAGTATAACAAGTCTGATAAAGAAAACTCATTAACAAAGAGAAGAATCTCCAGAGTTAGGTGAACTTTGAAATATTATAAGCAATGCAATACTTATAGCAGCAAGATACAACTTGCTGAAGAAGAAAGTTTACAACACGATACAAAACAAAAAGAAAAATGCTAAAGAATCTAGACTAGCATACTCTTTAATGCAATTAGGCTGCTAGATAAATATCAGCAGAAAAAACATTAAATTAGAACTCACTTCTGAGAATATCTTGGACCTCATCATGGTAAGTAATATGGTAACATAAGGCTCACTACTTGCTACTTTGTTAATAAATGTTGTAACCACAAACTCGGAAGTAATGAACACAAACTCGGAAGTAATGAACACAAACTCGGAAGTAATGAACACAAACTCGGAAGTAATGAAAAGTATCTCAGAAGTAATGAAAAGAAACTCAGAAGTAATGAAAAGTATCTCGGAAGTAATGAAAAGAAACTCGGAAGTAATGAATCGACTTATTCTTGACCAAAGTCATGAGACAGGTACTGGTTTTCTGATGCAAACCTTTGTTACTTCCATTTATGATAACAGATAATCTCATATTTTGCATACTTTAGGCTTCATGACACGTGCAAGAGCATACTCCTTTAGAATCGTTAATCAGGAATACTTCCTCAGTAAGAGCTATTTTTAACTTGATCAACTCGGTAAAATTGGTAGACATAGAAATATAGAAAACTACATAAGAGATAATCTTGTGCCAACTGCGTCAGAAGAAGAAGTTCAAGATTGGTTCGATAAACTGATGAAGGCTCTCCCCAACTTTTCAAGTAACCTCTCTGTGGTAGACACACATACCAATATATATCTTGAAGGATATAAACCAGACTTCAGCATCCTTCTTAATGAGGATGCAGTAAATCAAGTTTATATTCCGATGTTTGTATGTACACTTCTGGAGGTGAAGAAAAGAAAGAGTCCTAGTTCTGGTTTGACTGATGAATATAAGGGCCAACTGTTAGACTATATTCAAGTTCTTATTCAACAGCAACTATTGCGTGTACATTTTGCGATATTTCTATCAGATGGGTTTAATTTTTATGTAATGGATTATGATAGAGATACTAAACAATATAGTGAATTTACAACCAATATCCTGACTGGGATATGCCTTTTTTGGGTGTTGATCAATGATAAGTCACCTTTTATAAGTTTGGTTGGACCTAGGAGTATTAACTTCAGGACGCAATCAGAATACATAAGAATATATTTAAAGGGGTATTTGGGTAAAGGTGCATCTTCAACAGTATATGAGATTGACTTTAAAAATATTTCATCTGCTATAAAAATTCTTGAAACTGGTTATACTCTGAATAATGAGGTGTGTGCACTAGGATTTTTGAATGAGCTTCATATCCAAAATGTTCCAACTTATGTTGTGCATGATAACAATTCGATAATTATTCGCCCAGTCTGTAAACAAATTGGTAATAACTTTCTAGTATCTCATGCTCAACAGCTCCTCCGCCTCCTAAAACGCATTCATAGTTATGCAATTTATCATCAAGATATGCGTCCCGAAAACATTTTATTAGACACCAATAACAATAAACTTGTTCTTGCTGACTGGGGATCAGCAATCAGATATTTTAATAATAACGGTACAGTAGAATATGCAGGAACAATTTTATTTTCTTCACCAAATATTTTAAGCAACAATTTTGGTTCTTATATTCCCAAAGCATTTGATGACTTATATTCTTTTATACGTACAATTTATATTTTACGTAATCTGTCAAAAAGGCCAACTATTCCTAATGGGAACTTAACATTGAAAGCAAAAGTAATTAGAGAATACTGGGATGATAAGGTAGATATAAAACTAGATGGACCATTTTGGATAGAGATGATCGATGCAGCAACAAATGAAAATTATGATGTACTGGAGAAATGTTGCTATGTTTTTAAAAAATGATAATTCATCTTAGGCTGGTATATAGATTAATTAATTATCAATAAAATTATTAGTTTAGAAATAGATTTTTGTATAGTTTTTTTTTACCTAATAACTTTGCAATTCATCCATTATATATTTTTGTAGTAATAATTAATATTAAAAACTAGCTAGTGTTTTTTCCTAGTACTCACAGAAACTTAAAGTCATTTATTGATTTGTATAAGTTAATGTAAATCTAAATAAATGCTAGAGCCTTTACCCGGGTTAGGTTGATCCATACAAGTCAGCTTCTTGACAGGTCACAAGTCAAAAAATTGGCCAGACCCAGGTTAAACAGGTCATGGATAACATGGGCAAAATTCATAGAAAATATTGATAAATTCTAGTGATCCAGTATTTCTGATGTAGAAAATAGGCAGTCTCTATCATTTTTCCACTTTCTCGAAAAATAAAATCCTGACAAAATTAACCGGAACTTATCCCTTGTCAGGAAGTGGTTGTCCAGAAAACGATAGGAAACGAGAAAATAAATAAACTCAAATTATGAAAGAAGATCTGGTTTAAATATTTGCTATATATTAATATAACATAAAATTATAAAATTCTATAAACTTTACTCTTTAAACTTCCGAGAATAATTTACATAACTATTGATCTGATAATAACTCTATCTTTAGAATTCGACAAAATTTGTCGCCACGACTAGGGTACTACTAGGTATACATGAGTGCCTTAATTATTTTTTGGACTGCTGTAAATAAAAACTGCTGAAATATTTTAGGCAGCCTAAACCATAAATAATTTCGAAAACAATTTCGGGTACCGAAAATAATTCCGGTTGCCGAAAATATTTTCGGATATCAAAAATATTTTCAGATGCTGAAGATGTTTTCAGACACCGAAGCCGATTCTGTACATAAGGATAGCAAGTATTTTAAAACATCATGTTTTAAATGAGTATATATAAATTCAGTATGGTACGGTGATTTGGCTGGTACCATATGGTACGGTACGGTGATTACCCTTGTATGATCTGTACACTGATTTCTGGTAATCGTACTATGTACTATGTATATTATGTAACATATGTGTAACCAATAAATACTTTGGATAAATTAACTATATCAATAACGTACCACAATCGATACTATATAAGAAAATGCAAATTGCAAATCTAAATCTTTTTTATCCAACAATTTTTTAAAAAAATAATGGATTCAAAATTAAAAATCGAAATCGATACGTTTGATACAAGTTCAAGAAATAACGATATTTCAAATCGACCCAAAGTAGTGCTATCCGATACAGACGATGAGCCAGTGCTAGTAATTTTTTAATTTTAATAATTATAACGATAAATTAATATTGTATAATGATAATAACCTTGTATTAAAGGAATCAGC